GGGGGGGGGGGGGGGAGGGGGAGGAGGAGGAGAAGGGCTAGGAAGGGGATAGGTTGGGCTGTGGGGGTGGGGGGGGACCAGGAAGGAGGGCGAAGGCGCTCGGGGCGAAGAAGCGCTCGAAGAAACGGCGGTTTCGTCTTGTTGAGGGAGGTGGAGCGGCCTCGGGGAGTGAATAAGAACTTGAACGCACGGCAACAATTGCACTTGTGGACGGGTGTTGCACGTGGTGAAGGTGATGCCACCGCCGCCGTAGGCTTATCGGCAGCCCCTCTTCGGCATGTTGCCGGCTTGAGTGTGCTTGGTTGGATTGATGACGATTTGACGCATGGTATTTATGCGTCCTTTGCTTCTGGTGTGTCGTGTGATATTTCGCCATATTCGCCCAAGGTCACATGTCCCCGACTTGTCGCAGAAGCATTCGGAAGTTCGAAGATACTTCTAGCTTGAGGGGGGGATGCCCCCAAGCACTGTCCACTCCCAAGACTTGAAAAACCAACTACATTAGCTCTAGCTAGAAGATAGTAGCCCATCACAGCTAGCTACATTTACACGGAGCAACAATATTCCGGCGCCGAATGTACACACCGTCAAATATCTCAAACCTATCAACAACTTCTTCCTGGTAACAAGGTCCTCGTGCACTCATGCGTGCCGCTAACACCAGCACACGCAATGGAGAGGGAGAAAGCCAACAAAGCCTCTACAAAAATGTAACATGAAATAACGGAATTTCTTTTTCGTCCCCCGCCCCTTTCACCCGTCGGTGTTTGCCATCGGGATTATGGGTTTTCGTCGCTTAGCAAAGACGTTGTAAAACAAGCAAATTCACTTCGTGAACTCGGCAACCAGGTTACCGTTTTTTTTTTTCACTTCTTTTTTTTTTTGGCGGTAACCATAATGGTGGTCGAGTAGATCATGTTGTGCGGGGTCGAGAAGCCTCACTCCGCGCAAGGGGGATGATCGCAACACGCTGTGTAGAAATGGCCAAGCACCCTCGAGGCAGTTACACAGTGCTTACAACTGTCTCTGGAAGTGAAAGCACCAGAAAATAAATTACTTCATGCGCAGCTGTCATCCGTGTGCAAGGAATNATGTTGTGCGGGGTCGAGAAGCCTCACTCCGCGCAAGGGGGATGATCGCAACACGCTGTGTAGAAATGGCCAAGCACCCTCGAGGCAGTTACACAGTGCTTACAACTGTCTCTGGAAGTGAAAGCACCAGAAAATAAATTACTTCATGCGCAGCTGTCATCCGTGTGCAAGGAATTAAGCACAAGATGCCGAACGCCCTTAGCAGGATGCAGTGCACCCTTCATGCTCCTCGCCGAATAACTCACGGCGCTTCGCGCTTGGTGATATGAGAGCCTGGTCCGGTGAGAACCTGGCGTGCTCCGTCCCGGCTTTGGAGGGATGCGAGGTCAATGGTCTAATGACTACGGCATGCACGACTATGAGTACACCCCCACCTCCCGGGGGCGGGGGGGGGGATTGGGTAGGTGTGCGGGAAGACTTTTTTTGGGCGCCTTGGCTAGACTCAAAGGGGTTAAGAATGATCACAGGGAGGGAGGAAATCCCCATCAAATCCTTTGCAAATATTGGTGAAATTTGACCTCAGCATGTGCCATTTGGATTTGGCATTGGTGCAAGGTGTATTCCACCATTCGCACCTCACGCCATGAGAGAGTGTTGTGACCGAGTGCTGTGATTCGTTGCAGACATTGCAGACATCTCCGCTTCTTCAACAACATTCGGTGTATTGCACTCGATGATGTAATCTGCTGTCTTCCTTGCACGTCCGATCGTACTGGGCTACAGCAGTAGCTGAGTCCCCGTCGTAGTCGGCGATGGACCCATTCGACAAGCAGGCTGAACGGCGACGCGCAACACCCTTTTAAGTTAGCCAGACGCAGGCTGTAGTTTATAACACACACTTTAAAGTTAACCAGACGGGACATGTGCACCGTTTTCAGTTTCCAGAACGCGAACCGGCAAAGGCCGGACAGAGCCAAGAAGAATCTCCGGCCAAAAGCCAAAAACACCCGAAAACTACCAGCAAGAGTGCGACATACTCATCTTCTTCCCCTCGCTGCCTCGGCAAGGTTTTGCGTAGGCATGACCCATAGCGAGGGGGGGGGGTCTTTCTAGCGAGCAGGGCTAGACTCACCCTCAAAGGACCGATACCTTCTTGCTGCGGCGCACCCGCCGCGAGGCGTGCGTAGTGGTGGAGTTGGGTCGGCACTGGTGCGTCAGGTACAAAGGTGCAGATGCGCGGGCCTCCAGGCCGTCGGTGTAGGCAGCAATGCCCATCTCATCTTTGTGCGCGGAGGCAGACGTCATCAGAAGGTGGACGGGCACTATGTACACGGCCCTAGGTTTGCTAGAGGGAGCCGTACTGGCTCAGTAGCCTGGTTTTGCCATCAAAGGAGGAGGGGACAGGTGGTGACGAGCTGATTGGGCTGGTTGACCCTTCGGCGCGAGAATTTTCAGACCAAGAACCATAAGTGCAACCAGGGAGAAAGCGAGCAACCAACTGGGATGGACAGCAACGAGAGCGTGTACGAAGCGGAGCGGGTCGAGTTTGGTCGCGCTAGGACTAGCCACAGCGGCACCGGAGCAGCGGCACCGGAGCAGGCGGACGGCATCGAACCGTGGCGCACGGACAAACATCTCTTGTGTTGGTCAATTATTTTTCCGTTTTTTTCCTGAAGACAGGTGTTGGGTGTTGGGTGATGACGTCACTGGTTTTGTAGAGAGACGCGGCAGAGATGGCGCGGATGACCCGGGCGCCAGTACCTGCATCGTGGAAGACCCCTTCAATGTGGAACGATTCCTAGTCAGTGTCGATGTTTACACTGCTGTGCCTAACACAGATGATCTGAACAGATTCGGGTGATTGTCAATTGCAATGATGGCTTTGGTTAGGTGTTCGCCTTCATTGTGCATCCACGGACTCATTCTGACAGAACTTCAAACAGCAGCTCCATGCCCCGAGCTTGTGTACCATGGCACCATGGTGTTATTATTGTACAGAAAGCACTTCAGACAGCAGTACGCTGTAGTCGACAAACATTCATTCTGGTTAAATGCGGGACAAGGGGGGTGATGCCGCTGCTGTAGTCGATTTGTAGTGTGGGCGTTTAGTTCAGTTGTGAGCACGCAATCGTGCTGCAGGGATTGCAGGCTTACCTCCTCGGGCTTGCGTACCCTTTTCTTGCTAATAGTGTGTGGGTTCTTTAGATCTTCTGATGGCTCTAGCATTTTTGTGACCACGGACCGAGTCTTGGCTAGATTTGGGAATTTGCAACTGACACGAGTTGAATGTCAAGAAAAACAACAACAACAACAACTCGCACCAGGAAAGTCACTTGTTCTTGCGTCTACAGAGTTTCGAAGGAGGTCTCGGATGAACTATTAATAATGCACTGGACAAGCGGCGTAAGTGCAATCTCATTGCACTATTAGCTTTATCTTGCTGGCATTGTTCCCCCTTCAAACTCTTATTTGCAACAGGTGCCTCAAGCGGGATCCTCTCTGTGAAAGCTCCGGGGGTTGCGTATCTACAGCAGGACTGCCGTGTAACAAGCGGCTGCAAGCGCTCAAGGCACAAAAAAAGCGTGACACAACCCGATCATACAGCTACAACCAAAAACACAGGTGACACACACCGACGTCTCGCCCGAATGTACCCCCACACTCCCACCAGTCGCGGAGGGACTACTCACGCACAGACTCACCCAGTGCAGTCGAAATAGGAGAAGGGTGTGATACAGCAGTTTTCTTCAGCCGTTACAACACCAGAGAGAAGCACCGCTCCAGTGAGGATTATCCCCTCCCTCCGATGTAATCTGTCCGTCATCCCTCGATGTGTTGGATGCAAGCGCTCCAGGCTCCCACAGGTTTCTCCTAGCTCCGGTAAGGAGGAGTCCGTGCACGCTCCTGCTCCTCCGAAGTCCAGACGCGCGTTTTCGCTCTCCGACCCTTTCTCTTTTGTGTGCTTGGGGTCCAAGCGGAGCGAGCGACTCGTCGACTCCTGCCAACGGCAGCTGTTGCTCCTACGTACGTCACAGGGTGTTCCAAACAATCAGCGTTATATCCCTAAGTTGCAATTGCAGTTGTCTGTATTAGAGGAACTCTGCATCCTCTCGACGAAGTATGAGACGGTTGTCTCCTGGTTCGCGAGTGAGCAAGTTCCCTTTGGGATGTGTGGTGTGGATACACACCGGTTCAACCTCTGGTGGAGAGGCTGACGAGTACGGACAGTTGAGTTGTGTGAGTGTGTCAGGTGGGGACCAACCTTGTGTTGAAGCAAGGTTGAGCATCCAACCTGCACTGACTCTAACCAGACTTGCGGGAAAAATGGGAACGTACCCAAAAATGAGAGTGGGCGTTTGTTTTTAGAAAGCAAACCACGCCTTTGCAACTCCCCCCATAAAA